AACTTGGTTGCAGGAAATACGACTTCAGCAACAGAGTGGTCAATGTCTGGAATCCTCTACCTGACTCTGTGGTTTCTTCCCCAAACCCCCAAAACTTTAACCTTAGATTGTCTACTATTGACCTCACCCCTTTCCTAAGAGGCCTGTAGCATAAGCACACCAATCGTGCCTACCGTCCCTGTCCTATTGTTTCTTTTTTTTAATTTTTCTTATACGTATCCATTTCATGTATTCATAACTATGTTTATACTTATACCTGTCATATTGTAAGCGATTGACAAATCAAATAAATAATTAATTAAATAAATAGTAAGCCAATGACATTAAAGGGATGAGATGGAGAGAAGAAAAGGAAATAGGTATGAAAACTAGTTTACACCATTGGCTAGGTCTTCATACCTCCCAATAGCTTGCAAACCATCCGTGGCAACTACAGAGCCTTCTAGCACAGAGGTGGGGAACTATGACATTCAGCAACTAGCCTCCTGCTACATACATAGTTGCACACAAATTCCATAATCTAAGCTTTTTCACTTGATCATCCTTTTGGAAATCCGCAATATTTGTAAACTTTCTCACATTCATATAATTCTCAATGGTCTGCATAGCCCTTGCCTGATGCAAAGCTAAATGTGGTTTGCTACAACGTTTAATGTTACAACGGCACTGAAAAAAGTTACAGCCATTTTTCACACTTATGACCGTTGCAGCATCCCCCATGGTCACGTGATCAAAATTCAGATGCTTGGCAACTGATTCACACTTATGAGAGTCGCTGTGTATCCCGGGGTCAAGCGATCCCCTTTTGCGACCTTCTCACAAGTAAAGTCCACGAGGAATCCAGATTCACTTAACAACCATGTTACTAACTTGACAACAGCAGTGATTCACTTAGCAACTGTGGCACGAAAGGTCGTAAAATGGTGCAAAATTCACTTAACAAATGTCTCACTTAGCCACAGAAGGTTTGGGCTCAATTGTGGTCGTATGTTGAAGACTACCTGTATTAATCTCATACAGCTCTCTAAAATACTGCTTGTGAGGACCCAGGGCACAAAGGCAACACAGTCAGGTCATCAGTAGGAGTCCCTTATTAGCTCCAATTTTGCTTCCAATGGCCTGGTTACCTTCTGGCTGGAGAAAAACTCTCCCAGGAACAGCCTTTGGCTGCAGAAAATCAAGTCCAAAACGTGGTCAACAAAAACTGTAACTATAACTTCAATCAATGCAAGATGAGGTAATTATTCTGGCAAAGCAGGAGCAAGAATTCCAGATGTGAAGAAATGGCAAAACTCACACGGCTGGGAAGACACCAGGAACACAGATAAGCAAAGACAACACAAGGTAAAGTCACATTTGCTCCCAGCAGCTGCCGCAATCAGCACGCATCTCTTTTAAACTCTCTTCCCAGCTGTAGCTAATGAAGGGAATCAGGGCCCTTTCCTCCCCCGTAAGCCACACAACCAATGTTGCTCCCTTCTCCGTTCCTCCCTGCATGCCCTAGGATGAAGACGGGGTGGGCCTGAGTCTTCCTCTGAACTCCCTCTCCTTTGTTCTACCTCTCCCCTTCTCTGCCCAGCCGGACTTTGCCCTTCCCCAGTTTCCTCCACAGCCAACGGAGCCACACTCCCACTCCCTGTCAGCTGTTCATCTTCCTCCTCAGATTCAGACTCTTGACAGGGGCATGACAATCCTTCCTCTATTTCCTCCATTTACTTTCAACATCCCTTTTATGTTTAATTCTAGCCACTCTGCCAGATGCTCCTTGTTTAGCCTTCTTCACCTGCTTCTGAATGTTCTTATGCATGTGAAATGAGTGTCCTGAATTTTTGCAGAACTTCTAAGATTTAAGCAATTCTTTTTAGCAATGATTCGTTAAGTCAAGCACTAGCTGGGATTGTAAAAGGCTCTAAAAAGCATTGGGTTGTTGATGTTCTCCGAGTTGGGTTATTTTCCAGCAGAAATGTTGCTACCATGCTAGATAGTATCCTCTGTGCATGAGAGAATGGAGTTTGCTGCTTGTTTATATACAGTAGCTTGCCCTGCCAATCTTGGTTGGGGTGGGCTTTCTTCCTTGATGGCCCTTACGCCATTTTTCCTCCTGATTGTTTATCTGTGCCGTTTCCTGCTTCTCTGGGTGTGGCTGCTGGAAAGGATGTGTTTTATTAATTTAGGCTGTTTGTTTCCTTCCTAGACTTTTGATTGTATCTTTTAAATGGACTGTCAGTGGGACTTATCTCTATGTGGATGGATTTGTTAGAATGCCATGCTTGTTGGAATTACTTAATATTTTTGGAATTGGCTTCTCCCTAAATGCCAACTCTTTCCCAGTGGAAATTGTTGTTGAATTTATCTACCTGCAAAAAGATGAAGGAGCTCTTACCGTCCTTGCCCTGTATGTGCTGATGTCTCTGATTATTATTTCTGCTAGACGTGGTGGCACAGTGGTTAGAATGCAGTACTGCAGGCTACTTCTGCTGACTGCCAGCTGCCTGCAGTTTGATCCTGACTGGCTGAAGGTTGACTCAGCCTTCCATCCTTCCGAGGTGGGTAAAATGAGGACCCAGATTGTTGGGGGCAAGAGGCTGATTCTGTAAACTGCTTAGAGAGGGCTGTAAAAGCACTGGGAAGTGGTATAGAAGTCTAAGTGCTATTGTTATTTCTTTGGGTAATTTTAAAAGCATTTGATGGGGTTTTGCTGGTCTGTGTTAGAGTGATGTTGAGAGGATATCATAATCTGTAGATTGTCTCAGAAGCATCTTTCATGTATGGGATAGTTAACCAACTCCCAGGCTGTGTCGCGATAGGTTCTGTACCTAGGTACTTTTATGAAGTTGCGTGGGTATCTGCTGTGTTCCCCTGGCAACCAACACCCAGAGAGACAGGAAGCAGCACCAGGACAGGGGAAACAGTACCCTAATCAAAGAACCAAGAAGTGTTCAAAATGTATCCCAACCAAGATTGGGAGGACAAGAGGCTCCCTCTAAACTACCAGGGAACTCTGCTCTTCTTTGCACACTTTCCCTGTAACAAAACTTCTGCCAGAAAACAACCCAGTGCAGGGAACATTAAAATCCTAACTCTTTATAAGCTACAAATACTGTATTCCTCACTACTGAAATTCTAAAAAAAATAGTTCACCAATGATAGTGGCTTAGCTTTGGATGCCCCTAATTTATTTGCACACCCCAACCCTAAGATAACATAATTTGCACACCCGTAAAACGAACACATGCTTATGGGAGTAACATTTCATGTGTATTTATGCAGATAGAAATCCTACTCTATCGTGATGTTTCAGCTTAGCTGTCTTCCCCTTTGAGCCTTTGTCCAGACGTCACCCAAACACCGCAGGCAGGCCTGCTGCATCCCAAATAGAGTGTGTGGATAAGGCAGTGTGTTAATGTGTTGTCAGTGGTGCCTCCTTGCTCCAGAGGCAGGTTTTGCATACTTTGCCCATTCTTGATGAGAGGGAGAAGGGCTGTGTGATTAGCACGCTCGGGAAGTGGCGTGGATGCTCCTTGGGGTGCAAACAGAGGGTGTCAAAAGTCAAAGCAGAGACTGCAACCCCACCTTGTCACCATGGATCCAAAATGTTTGGGCTTCTTCAGCCATCTTGATTTTTCTGAGACTCCCCAGGGGCTGCAGATTGTTGCATTTGTGTCACGTCTTCGAAAGTGCCAATGTTTTGCTTTGGATTGTTTTTAAGAGCACTTTGTGGCACAGATGAGCACAGGAGCCTTGCTTAAGATCTGGGCAGCATCCTGCTAGATCTTGCATGTGGTTTGGTTACTAAGAGCAGTCAAGAGAAAAAGCAGCACGTTTAACGGTATAGACTCGGAGCTGGGCTTCGCTGCTGGCCATGCCATTGTTTACTTGGCAATGCTCGATCGCACAAACAAATAATGGGTTAGTTTATATGTCAGGAAACACCTGTTGTACATGAAGCCAATATGGGGACCCAGTAAACTAAGCTTAGTCAGCAAACCATGGTTAAACAGACCATGCTTTGGGACAGTGTGTCAAAGTAACTATTGGTTGGGTTCGCACATCATTGTAAACTATGGGGTGGTTCATTAAGGGGGTGGGAAATGGTGAAACCCTGAGGATTCACTCATGGCACTTGGGTTGTGTGAACCCTGTCATCATGCTGGCTGGCTTTAATTTAGCCTGTTGGGTGAAGCCAGACAATTGTGGGTCATCAAGAAATCGTGGTTATGATGGAAATGAAAGAGAAAGAAGAAAGAGAGTACCATGAGACTTGGAACCTACGGTATAACTGGTTAGAAGGTAGACGTAAAGTAGATAAATGAAGGAAAGGTAGGAGTTATGGTAAGATGAAATAATACTGTGCATATGTAAATAATTATGTAAATATATGGATATATGCCTTAAATTGAATGGAGAAATAATTAATAATATTTAGCAATAACTTACATATTTAGGAAGATGTCAGTGTAAGTGAACACCGTTATGAACACGCTGTAATGAGTGGAAATACGTTTTTAATTGTGAAAATGTGATCAATAAAGATTAAAAAAGAAATAAAAAAAATAGGAGTCGTCCGAGAGGGCCACTCGATGGTACTTTTGTGCAATGCGTGTATTTTGCACATCTGCTTTCCATGCACAGCCCCGAAGTGAACCCGGAGAGCGGTTGTGCGAACGCGGCCTCGGCTATCCGGGACGCGCGTCTGAGGAAACTTTCGGGGGAAGCGGCTTCCCGCAAACGCTCCGGCCCCGGGCTGCGCTCGGCAGGGGAGGGAGCCGCACTGCCCCCCGGCGGCTCCCCGGTCGCCCCGCCGCGGTCGGAGACCTCCCTCCGGCCGTGGGTTGCGGGGCCAGAGCGGTCGCGTCCGGCCGGGGCGCTCACGCGGGGGCCGGGCCGGCGGGGAGCCCGCCGCCTCTCCCCCGCCCTCTCCGGCAGCGTGGCCGCGGCTCGGGCGCTCCCAGCGGCGGAGAGGCGGGGAGGAGCGGCGGCGGCGGGGCGGGCGCACGGACCGCGCTGCCGAGGACGGGCACCGGACGGGATGCCGGCGGCGCTGGGAGCCGGGCTGAGCGCGGAGCCGGCGGCCGGGGCGCCCTGAAGCAGCGCCAGCATGTCCCGCAAGAAGAGCCCCAAGGGCAAGGGCGGCAGCGCCGCGCCCTCCTCCGCCCTGCCCGCCGCCCAGCAACGCGCCGCCGCCGCCGCCGCCGCCTCTTCGTCGGCCGGGCCGGGCAGGGGCGCGGGCGCGGCCGAGGAGAGGGCGGCCAACGGAGGGGCGCTGCCCAGCCGGCCCTCGCTCAGCAGCAGCGGCGAGTTCCACGACGTCGCCTTCAAGGTGAGCGGCGGGCGCGACTTGGCCGGGGCAGCGGGGCTCCTCCGGCGCCCCCCCCTCCGCTGGACGGACGGGCCGGCGGGCAGACGGCTGGCGCGACCGAACCTTGGGGAGGCTTGGCGGGCGCGAAGGGCGCCTGCCTTCCCCGGACGGCCTCGCAACAGGCGCGTCTGCCGCTGGCGGAGCGAAGGTGCGGCGCTCGGAAGCAGGCGCCGGGCTTGCTTGCCAGGCGGAGTCTCGCGCGGGCTTCCCCGGCGAAGGTCCCGAGCCGCTTCCGAAAGTGCCGGAGCTCCGGGGCATCCCGCGCTGCGCCCCCCCCCCCCCGCCACCGCCTGCTCCGCTCCCGAACCGAAGTAGCAGCCGCGAGCAGGTGCTGCTTGCAGGGGTTTAGTGCACAGTTGCGGCTGGAGGTAGACGGCGCCTGTAGCTGGAAGCTCTTCGCCCGGTGTGAGCTACTTCTCCAGCGCTCCCTTTCCCAGCCACCTCTGGCGCTGCCAGTTCCGCCCTCCGGCGCACTCCCCCCCCCCTTGCACATCCTTATATCGGGTGGTCTTTTCCCACCCAGTTGGGTTTGCCCAGCCCCGGATCCCTTGAGGAAAAAACTTGGCACCTTTCCTGATGCCCGTCTGTGGGTCAAAGAGCAACCCGACCAACCAGGAAAGTTTTCTTCGGTTCTGCCGGTGGGTGGGACAGTCTGGGTTTGCCCCTTGCTCCTGGGAAGGGAGCCCGGGTTGAATCCCACTGCACCCAATACTGATGGCATTTATACAACAGGTTTCATTGTGACTCCTGTGGGAATTTACTCGGTGCAGCCTTGGTTCTCACAGCACACAGAACCAGGGACGGGTCACATGGGCTGCTTTGCACTATCCATGTGCAAGAGAGAGGGGTGGTGGTGCTGAGGGTGAGAAAGGAAGGGGAACACTAACAATTAGCAGATAGGAGATCTTGTTCCAGGTTTATCCAACACACAGACTTGTCTGCAAACATTCTGAGAAATAAAGACACCCCCCCCCCCCCAAAAAAAAAACAACCCAATAAGCTCACTTAATGAACTCTCTCTCCTAGAAAAAGAGGCTTGGGAGGGTCCCATCTCAGTCCTCCACATTTGTTATTCTGATTTTTAGCATTACATTCTGTCAAGAAAATGTGTGTGAATCGTGTTTTCTTGATCAGATTCTGCAGGAAAGGGGCTGGACAGCCTAAGGAAGGTAAAATTTGCCTGGGCTTTATGATCTGGTAACTCATATTACCTACAGGGTGTTTGACTCGGCTAACTGCGTGGTTGCCCATCTATGGCTCTCCCTGTTGTGAGTGTAGTGGTGAAGGCATCAGGCTAGGAACTGGGAGACTCCCGAATTCTAATCCCACCTTAGCCACAAAGCGAGGTGGGTGACCCTTTCTCTCAGTCCCGGGAAGGAGGCAATGCCGAACCACTGCAGGAGAACCTTGCCAGAAATCTTGCCTGCAGGGTCTGGCCCAGGTCTTTGAGAACCAGACACAGATGGAAGAAGAGGGTGAGAGGTTTCACTTCGTTGATACGGGTTCACCTGTAGCACTCAAAGGTGCTTTTTTCCAAAAAAAAAAGGCCACTAGATCATTTTTTCCTTGAGGAAGAAGAAGAAGAAGAGGAAAATGTTTTGCTTCTCACCCAAGAAGTTTCATCGGCTGTGAGGGCGGAGGTGGTGAGGAGCAAGGACAGGTGCTGACATCTGTAGAGATTCTCCGTCCTCCAGGTCCTCGATTGTCCCAAAGGGGCTTTTTCAGGAGGCAACTGAACTTTCTTGGTTTTTTTTTCTTTGGAAGACGTTTTGCTTCTCATCCAAGAAGCTTCTTCAGCTCTGGCAGGAGGGCGGGGAATGGAAGGCTGTATATTCCTTGAAGATAGCTGGTCATTTGTATCCTTTTAGAGGCCACTTGGAGGTTTATCTGTGTCCTCAGGGTCACCTGAGTGGTGCAAATGGTTCCTGTAGTCTGCAGTTTTTCCTCTGGAGATCCATTCCTACGCCCACCCCATTCGAACAGTGTTCATCCCAAATTGCATAGCTGGAAGTTCTGCCTTCCCTGCCCAAAAGGTGGAGAGGAATAGAAAGGCTGGACATATCTCAGGGGCTGCTATGAGGAAGAGGGAGCCAAACTCTTCTCCAAAGCACCAGAAGGCAGGAGAAGAAACGATGGATGGAAACTCATCAAGGAGGGAACCAACTTAGAACTAAGGAGAGATTTCCTGACAGTGCGAACAATTAACCTGTGGAACAACTGGCCTCCAGAAGTTGCATATGCTCCAACATTGGAAGGTTTTAATGGTTGTAGGGTTTCCTACTTAAGTGGGAGGTTGGACTAGAAGACCTCCAAGGTCCGTTCCAACTCATTCTATTCTATTCTGTGCTGTGCCGTGCCATTCTCCTATTCTATTCTATTCTATTCTATTCTATTCTATTCTATTCTATTCT